TCTTGAATTTGATGAACTTGAAAAATTAGGTTAGTAAGACCAGCTGAATCTTTGAGCCCTGCTAGCTCAGCGGGTAGAGCGTTGGACTTTTAATCCAACGGTCAAGGGTTCGAGTCCCTTGTGGGGCGAAGTAGCATTTCTTCTATTAATTTTTTTTGAAACAATCGAACTTCTTTGAAAGCGCCAGTTATTTTCAGAGTTTTTGTGAATGCTGAATAAGTTTCAGGCTCTCAAAAATAAAATTTTCTCATATAACAAAGCTCGAATGATGCATTAAAAATCAACCGACACATTTTATCGAGCTGTTGTGGGGGAATCGGCTAGCGCGTTCGGCTGTTAACCGAAAGGTTGGTGATTCAAGACCACCCAGGAGCGAGAACATGAGAATCTGAAAATCAGAGATTGCTGCAAAAAATGTGTGCACTAAGGTGTTAATTTCAGGATCCACACGAATTCTTGAATTTGATGAATTTGAAAAATTAGTTGTGTTGAATATTTGAGCCCTGCTAGCTCAGTCGGTAGAGCGTTGGACTTTTAATCCAACGGTCAAGGGTTCGAGTCCCTTGTGGGGCGCAGTAACAATTATTCAATTAATTTTTTTTGAAACACTCGAACTTCTTTGAAAACGCCAGTTATATTCCGAGTTTTCAAAAAAGCTTAATAAGTTTCAGGCTCTCAAAAATAAGTTTTTCTCATAGAACAAAGCTCGAATGATGCATAAAAAAAATCAACCTACACAATTTATCGAGCTCATGTGGAGCAATCGGCTAGCGCGTTAAGCTGATAACCGAAAGATTGGTGGTTCAAGCCCACCCAGCAGCGAGAACAGTAGAACCTCAAAATCAGAGAATGCTGCGAAAAATAAGTGCACTAAGTTATTAATTTCAGGATCGACAGCTTCGAATTCTTGAATTTGATGAATTTGAAAAATTAGGTGTGCAAGACTAGCTGAATATTAGAGCCCTGCTAGCTCAGTCGGTAGAGCGTTGGACTTTTAATCCAACGGTCAAGTGTTCGAGTCCCTTGTGGGGCGGAGTAACATTTATTCAATTAATTTTTTTTGAAACACTCGAACTTCTTTGAAAACGCCAGTTATATTCCGAGTTTTCAATAAAGCTTAATAAGTTTCAGGCTCTCAAAAATAAATTTTTCTCATAGAACAAAGCTCGAATGATGCATCAAAAAATCAACCTACACAATTTAGCGAGCTCATGTGGAGCAATCGGCTAGCGCGTTAGGCTGTTAACCGAAAGATTGGTGGTTCAAGCCCACCCAGGATCGAGAACAGTAGAACCTCAAAATCAGAGAATGCTGCAAAAAATATGTGCACTAGTTATTAATTTCAGGATCCACAGCTTCGAATTCTTGAATTTGATGATTTTGAAAAATTAGGTTTGTAAGACTAGCTGAATCTTTGAGCCCTGCTAGCTCAGTCGGTAGAGCGTTGCACTTTTAATCCAACGGTCAAGGGTTCGAGTCCCCTGTTGGGCGAAGTAGCATTTCTTCTATTAATTTTTTTTGAAACAATCGAACTTCTTTGAAAGCGCCAGTTATTTTCCGAGTTTTTGTGAATGCTTAATAAGTTTCAGGCTCTCAAAAATAAACTTTTCTTATATAACAAAGCTCGAATGATGCATAAAAAATCAACCGACACACGTTATCGAGCTGTTGTGGGGGAATCGGCTAGCGCGTTCGTCTGATAACCGAAAGGTTGGTGATTCAAGACCACCCAGGAGCGAGAACATGAGAAACTTAAAATCAGAGATTGCTGAAAAAAATGTGTGCACTAAGGTGTTAATTTCAGGATCCACAGCTTCGAATTCTTGAATTTGACGAATTTGAAAAATTAGGTTTGTAAGACTAGCTGATTATTTGAGCCCTGCTAGCTCAGTCGGTAGAGCGTTGCACTTTTAATCCAACGGTCAAGGGTTCGAGTCCCCTGTTGGGCGAAGTAGCATTTCTTCTATTAATTTTTTTTGAAACAATCGAACTTCTTTGAAAGCGCCAGTTATTTTCCGAGTTTTTGTGAATGCTTAATAAGTTTCAGGCTCTCAAAAATAAACTTTTCTTATATAACAAAGCTCGAATGATGCATAAAAAATCAACCGACACATGTTATCGAGCTGTTGTGGGGGAATCGGCTAGCGCGTTCGGCTGTTAACCGCAAGGTTGGTGGTTCAAGCCCACCCAGGAGCGAGAACATGAGAATCTGAAAATCAGAGATTGCTGCAAAAAATGTGTACACTAAGTTATTAATTTCAGGATCCAACGCTTGAAAGACTAGCGTAATCTTTGAGCCTTGATAGCTCAGTCGGTGGAGCGTTGGACTTGTAATCCAAAGGACAAGAGTTCGAGCCCCTTGTAGGGAGAGGTATCAAATCTTCTTTTAATTTTTTTGAAACAATCGCACTTCTTTGAAACGCCAGTTATTTTCCGAGTTTTCATGATTGCTTAATAAGTTTAAGGCTCTCAAAAATAAAATTTTTCTCATAGAACAAAGCTCGAACGATGCATAAAAAATCAACCGACAAATGTTGTCGAGCTCTTGTGGCGCAATCGACTAGCGCGTTCGGCTGTTAACTGAAAGGTTGGTGGTTCAAGCCCACCCAGGAACGAGAACATGAGATTCTGAATATCAGAGATTGCTGCAAAAAATGTCTGCACTAAGGTGTTAATTTCAGGATCCACAGCTTCGAATTCTTGAATTTGATGAATTTGAAAAATTAGGTTTGTAAGACTAGCTGAATCTTTGGGCCCTGCTAGCTCAGTCGGTAGAGCGTTGGACTTTTAATCCAACGGTCAAGGGTTCGAGTCCTTTGTGGGGCGGAGTAACATTTATTCAATTAACTTTTTTTGAAACACTCGAACTTCTTTGAAACGCCAGTTATTTTCCGAGTTTTCATGATTGCTTAATAAGTTTCAGGCTCTCAAAAATAAACTTTTAAACTTTTCTCATAGAACAAAGCTCGAATGATGCATAAAAAATCAACCGACACATGTTATCGAGCTGTTGTGGGGGAATCGGCTAGCGCGTTCGGCTGTTAACCGCAAGGTTGGTGGTTCAAGACCACCCAGGAGCGAGAACATGAGAATCTGAAAATCAGAGATTGTTCCAAAAAATGTTTTCAGGATCCACAGCTTCGAATTCTTGAATTTGATGAATTTGAAAAATTAGGTTTGTAAGACTAGCTGAATATTTGAGCCCTGCTAGCTCAGTCGGTAGAGCGTTAGACTACTAATCCAACGGTGAAGGGTTCGAGTCCCTTGTGATGCGAAGTATCAATTCTTCTGTTATATTTTTTGAAACAATCGCACTTCTTTGAAACGCCAGTTATTTTCCGAGTTTTCATGATTGCTTAATAAGTTTCAGGCTCTCAAAAATATACTTTTCTCATAGAACAAAGCTCGAATGATGCATAAAAAATCAACCGATACATGTTAACGAGCTGTTGTGGGGGAATCGGCTAGCGCGTTCGGCTGTTAACCGCAAGGTTGGTGGTTCAAGCCCACCCAGGAGCGAGAACATGAGAATCTGAAAATCAGAGATTGCTGCAAAAAATTTGCACACTAAGTTATTAATTTCAGGATCCAACGCTTCGAATTCTTGAATTTGAAAAAATAGGTTTGAAAGACTAGCGTAATCTTTGAGCCCTGATAGCTCAGTCGGTGGAGCGTTGGACTTGTAATCCAAAGGACAAGAGTTCGAGCCCCTTGTAGGGAGAGGTATCAAATCTTCTTTTAATTTTTTTGAAACAATCGCACTTCTTTGAAACGCCAGTTATTTTCCGAGTTTTCATGATTGCTTAATAAGTTTAAGGCTCTCAAAAATAAAATTTTTCTCATAGAACAAAGCTCGAACGATGCATAAAAAATCAACCGACAAATGTTGGCGAGCTCTTGTGGCGCAATCGGCTAGCGCGTTCGGCTGTTAACCGAAAGGTTGGTGGTTCAAGCCCACCCAGGAACGAGAACATGAGATTCTGAATATCAGAGATTGCTGCAAAAAATGTCTGCACTAAGGTGTTAATTTCAGGATCCACAGCTTCGAATTCTTGAATTTGATGAATTTGAAAAATTAGGTTTGTAAGACTAGCTGAATCTTTGAGCCCTGCTAGCTCAGTCGGTAGAGCGTTGGACTTTTAATCCAACGGTCAAGGGTTCGAGTCCTTTGTGGGGCGGAGTAACATTTATTCAATTAACTTTTTTTGAAACACTCGAACTTCTTTGAAACGCCAGTTATTTTCCGAGTTTTCATGATTGCTTAATAAGTTTCAGGCTCTCAAAAATAAACTTTTAAACTTTTCTCATAGAACAAAGCTCGAATGATGCATAAAAAATCAACCGACACATGTTATCGAGCTGTTGTGGGGGAATCGGCTAGCGCGTTCGGCTGTTAACCGCAAGGTTGGTGGTTCAAGACCACCCAGGAGCGAGAACATGAGAATCTGAAAATCAGAGATTGTTCCAAAAAATGTTTTCAGGATCCACACCTTCGAATTCTTGAATTTGATGAATTTGAAAAATTAGGTTTGTAAGACTAGCTGAATATTTGAGCCCTGCTAGCTCAGTCGGTAGAGCGTTAGACTACTAATCCAACGGTGAAGGGTTCGAGTCCCTTGTGATGCGAAGTATCAATTCTTCTGTTATATTTTTTGAAACAATCGCACTTCTTTGAAACGCCAGTTATTTTCCGAGTTTTCATGATTGCTTAATAAGTTTCAGGCTCTCAAAAATAAACTTTTCTCATAGAACAAAGCTCGAATGATGCATAAAAAATCAACCGATACATGTTAACGAGCTGTTGTGGGGGAATCGGCTAGCGCGTTCGGCTGTTAACCGCAAGGTTGGTGGTTCAAGCCCACCCAGGAGCGAGAACATGAGAATCTGAAAATCAGAGATTTCTGCAAAAAATTTGCACACTAAGTTATTAATTTCAGGATCCAACGCTTCGAATTCTTGAATTTGAAAAAATAGGTTTGAAAGACTAGCGTAATCTTTGAGCCCTGATAGCTCAGTCGGTGGAGCGTTGGACTTGTAATCCAAAGGACAAGAGTTCGAGCCCCTTGTAGGGAGAGGTATCAAATCTTCTTTCAATTTTTTTGAAACAATCGCACTTCTTTGAAACGCCAGGTATTTTCTGAGTTTTCATGATTGCTTAATAAGTTTAAGGTTCTCAAAAATAAACTTTTCTCATAGAACAAAGCTCGAACGATGCATAAAAAATCAACCGACAATCGGCTAGCGCAATCAACCGACAACTTGTGGCGCAATCGGCTAGCGCGTTCGGCTGTTAACCGAAAGGTTGGTGGTTCAAGCCCACCCAGGAGCGAGAACATGAGAATCTGAAAATCAGAGATTGCTGCAAAAAATGTCTGCACTAAGGTGTTAATTTTTTTGAAACAATCGCACTTCTTTGAAACGCCAGGTATTTTCTGAGTTTTCATGATTGCTTAATAAGTTTAAGGCTCTCAAAAATAAACTTTTCTCATAGAACAAAGCTCGAACGATGCATAAAAAATCAACCGACAATCAATCTTGTGGCGCAATCGGCTAGCGCGTTCGGCTGTTAACCGAAAGGTTGGTGGTTCAAGCCCACCCAGGAGTTTTCATGATTGCTTAATAATAGAACAAAGCTCGAACGATGCATAAAAAATCAACCGACAATCGGCTAGCGCAATCAACCGACAACTTGTGGCGCAATCGGCTAGCGCGTTCGGCTGTTAACCGAAAGGTTGGTGGTTCAAGCCCACCCAGGAGCGAGAACATGAGAATCTGAAAATCAGAGATTGCTGCAAAAAATGTCTGCACTAAGGTGTTAATTTTTTTGAAACAATCGCACTTCTTTGAAACGCCAGGTATTTTCTGAGTTTTCATGATTGCTTAATAAGTTTAAGGCTCTCAAAAATAAACTTTTCTCATAGAACAAAGCTCGAACGATGCATAAAAAATCAACCGACAATCAATCTTGTGGCGCAATCGGCTACCGCGTTCGGCTGTTAACCGAAAGGTTGGTGGTTCAAGCCCACCCAGGAGCGAGAACATGAGAATCTGAAAATCAGAGATTGCTGCAAAAAATGTCTGCACTAAGGTGTTAATTTCAGGATCCACAGCTTCGAATTCTTGAATTTGATGAATTTGATGAATTAGAACAAAGCTCGAACGATGCATAAAAAATCAACCGACAATCAATCTTGTGGCGCAGGTATTTTCTGAGTTTTCATGATTGCTTAATAAGTTTAAGGCTCTCAAAAATAAACTTTTCTCATAGAACAAAGCTCGAACGATGCATAAAAAATCAACCGACATAAAAATTCAACGATGCATAAAAAATCAACGATGCATAAAAATTCATCATACAAAGCTCGAACGATGCATAAAAAATCAACCGACAATCAATCTTGTGGCGCAATCGGCTAGCGCGTTCGGCTGTTAACCGAAAGGTTGGTGGTTCAAGCCCACCCAGGAGCGAGAACATGAGAATCTGAAAATCAGAGATTGCTGCAAAAAATGTCTGCACTTAGGTGTTAATTTCAGGATCCACAGCTTCGAATTCTTGAATTTGATGAATTTGAAAAGGTTTGTAAGACTAGCTGAATCTTTGAGCCCTGCTAGCTCAGTCGGTAGAGCGTTGGACTTTTAATCCAACGGTCAAGGGTTCGAGTCCCTTGTGGGGCGGAGTAACATTTATTCAATTAATTTTTTTGAACCACTCGAACTTCTTTGAAAAAGCCAGTTATATTCCGAGTTTTCATGAACGCTTAATAAGTTTCAGGCTCTCAAAAACAAACTTTTTTATAGAACAAAGCTTGAATGATGCACAAAAAAATCAACCGAAACATGTTATCGAGCTCTTGTGGCGCAATCTGCTAGCGCGTTCGGCTGATAACCGAAAGATTGATGGTTCAAGCCCACCCAAGAGCGAGAACAGTAGAAACTCAAAATCATAGATTGCTGCAAAAAAAGTGTGCACTAAGTTGGTAATTTCAGGATCCACAGCTTCGAATTCTTGAATTTGATGAATTTGAAGAATTAGGTTTGTAAGACTAGCTGAATCTTTGAGCCCTGCTAGCTCAGTCGGTAGAGCGTTGGACTTTTAATCCAACGGTCAAGGGTTCGAGTCCCTTGTGGGGCGGAGTAACATTTATACAATTAATTTTTTTTGAAACACTCGAACTTCTTTGAAAACGCCAGTTAATCTCCGAGTTTTCATGAACGCTAAATAAGTTTCAGGCTCTCAAAAACAAACTTTTTTCATAGAACAAAGCTTGAATGATGCATAAAAAATCAACCTACACAAGTTCTCGAGCTCTTGAGGCGCAATCGGCTAGCGCATTCGACTGTCAACCGAAAGATTGGTGGTTCAAGCCCACCCAGGAGCGAGAACAGTAGAACCTCAAAATCAGAGATTGCTGCAAAAAATATGTACACAAAGTTATTAATTTAAGGATCCAACGCTTCGAATTCTTGAATTTGAAAAAATAGGTTTGAAAGACTAGCATAATCTTTGAGCCCTGATAGCTCAGTCGGTGGAGCGTTGGACTTGTAATCCAAATGACAAGAGTTCGAGGACCTTGTAGGGAGAAGTATCAATTCTTCTATTATATTTTTTGAAACAATCGAAATTCTTTGAAACGCCAGTTATTTTCCGAGTTTTCATGCTTGCTAAATAAGTTTCAGGCTCTCAAAAATAAACTTTTCTCATAGAACAAAGCTCGAATGATGCATAAAAAATCAACCGACACTTGTTATTGAGCTCTTGTGGCGCAATCGGCTAGAGCGTTCGGCTGTTAACCGAAAGATTGTTGGATCAAGCCAACCCAGGAGCGAGAACAGTAGATCCTCTAAATCAGAGATTGCTGCAAAAAATATGTACAGTAAGTTATTAATTTCAGGAGCCACAGCTTCGAATTCTTGAAATTGAAAAATTAGGTTTGTAAGACTAGTTGAATCTTTGAGCCCTGCTAGCTCAGTTGGTAGAGCGCTGGACTTTTAATCCAACGGTCAAGGGTTCGAGTCCATTGTGGGGCGAAGTAACATTTCTTCTTTTAATTTTTTTTGAAACAATCGAACTTCTTTGAAAGCGCCAGTTAATTTCAGAGTTTTTGTGAATGCTTAATATGTTTCAGGCTGTCAAAAATAAACTTTTCTCATAGAACAAAGCTCGAATAATGCATAAAAAATCAACCGACACATGTTATCGAGCTCTTAAGGCGCAATCGGCTAGCGCTTTCGGCTGTTAACCGAAATGTTGGCTGTTCAAGCCCACCCAGGAGCGAGAACAGTAGAACCTCAAAATCAGAGATTGCTGCAAAAAATATGTACAGTAAGTTATTAATTTCAGGAGCCACAGCTTCGAATTCTTGAAATTGAAAAATTAGGTTTGTAAGACTAGCTGAATCTTTGAGCCCTGCTAGCTCAGTCGGTAGAGCGTTGGACTTTTAATCCAACGGTCAAGGGTTCGAGTCCCTTGTGGGGCGGAGTAACATTTATACAATTAATTTTTTTTGAAACACTCGAACTTCTTTGAAAACGCCAGTTAATCTCCGAGTTTTCATGAACGCTAAATAAGTTTCAGGCTCTCAAAAACAAACTTTTTTCATAGAACAAAGCTTGAATGATGCATAAAAAAATCAACCTACACAAGTTCTCGAGCTCTTGTGGCGCAATCGGCTAGCGCATTCGACTGATAACCGAAAGATTGGTGGTTCAAGCCCACCCAGGAGCGAGAACAGTAGAACCTCAAAATCAGAGATTGCTGCAAAAAATATGTACACAAAGTTATTAATTTAAGGATCCAACGCTTCGAATTCTTGAATTTGAAAAAATAGGTTTGAAAGACTAGCATAATCATTGAGCCCTGATAAAGAGTTCGAGGACCTTGTAGGGAGAAGTATCAATTCTTCTGTTATATTTTTTGAAACAATCGAAATTCTTTGAAACGCCAGTTATTTTCCGAGTTTTCATGCTTGCTAAATAAGTTTCAGGCTCTCAAAAATAAACTTTTCTCATAGAACAAAGCTCGAATGATGCATAAAAAATCAACCGACACTTGTTATTGAGCTCTTGTGGCGCAATCGGCTAGAGCGTTCGGCTGTTAACCGAAAGATTGTTGGATCAAGCCAACCCAGGAGCGAGAACAGTAGATCCTCTAAATCAGAGATTGCTGCAAAAAATATGTACAGTAAGTTGTTAATTTCAGGATCTAACGCTTCGAATTCTTGAATTTGAAAAAATAGGTTTGAAAGACTAGCATAATCTTCCAGCCCTGATAGCTCAGTCGGTGGAGCGTTGTACTTGTAATCCAAAGGACAAGAGTTCGAGGCCCTTGTAAGGAGAAGTATCAAATCTCCTTATAATTTGAAAAAATAGGTTTGAAAGACTAGCATAATCTTTGAGCCCTGATAGCTCAGTCGGTGGAGCGTTGGACTTGTAATCCAAAGTCTTTGAATTCTTGAACTTGAAAAAATAGGTTTGAAAGACTAGCAAAATCTACCAGCCCTGATAGCTCAGTCGGTGGAGCGTTGTACTTGTAATCCAAAGGACAAGAGTTCGAGGCACTTGTAGGGAGAAGTATCAATTCTTCTATTATACTTTTTGAAACAATCGCACTTCTTTGAAACGCCAGTTATTTTCCGAGTTTTCATGATTGCTTAATATGTTTCAGGCTCTCAAAAAAAAACTTTTCTCAAAGAACAAAGCTCGAATGATGCATAAAAAATCAACCGAAACATGTTATCGATCTCTTGTGGCGCAATCGAATAGCGCGTTCGGCTGTAAACCGAAAGGTTGGTGGTTCAAGCCCACCTAGGAGCGAGAACAGGAGAATCTCAAAATCAGAGAATGCTGCAAAAAATGTGTGCACTAAGTTATTTATTTCAGGATCCACATCTTCGAATTCTTGAATTCGAAAAATTAGGTTTGTAAGACTAGCTGCAGCTTTCAGCCCTGCTTGCTCAGTCGGTAGAGCGTTAGACTATTAATCCAACGGTGAAGGGTTCGAGTCCCTTGTGGTGCGAGGAATCATTTCCTCTATTAGTTTTTTTGAAACACTCGAACTTCTTTGAAAACGCCGG